TAACAAAAGGATACAATTAAATAATGGGAATTACTTGCATTTCTTGTCAATTGCAACATTACCTCCATAAACCACAAAATAGGGATGTTTCCTTGGTAAGCTATTTGCTGATTTTTTGGCATCTTCTAATCACTTGTTTTCCCTACTTTATGTAAGTACAGATTCCTCTGGTTTTCTTTCTCTATTTAGAAACCATGTTATGCCTGTAAAACAGACACATCTTGTCTTATAGGGGAAAAAGACACTAAGCATGAGTTGGATGTAGTCCTCAAGACCATCTGTTATGCAAGCCATGCTATTGTACTAACCCAGTTAAGGCAATCTGAGGTTCTATAAGGATTTTTCTTGTAGATAAATAATATATATATATATGTGTGTGTGTGTGTGTGTATAGGTGGATGGACACACTTAAAGGCAGGATATGTCAATGACAGATGGACATAAGTATGATAAAAAAGGAAGCTAAGCAGCATAGTTCTTCTTGGGACCATAACAAAGGTGTCTAGCAGAGTCTTGGTGCTTGACATGTTTATTGTGTTTTTACATGGTGCTGTGTAATTTTATGTAGATCCTATGGCCAACTAAAGTTACAAGTCAACACATAACTGTAATTTAAATGAAACTCAACTTAGTCACTCTTTCAGTGACAGTGGATGTGTTCTTGGAGAGGGTGTGGAACAACACTTTTGTATGGCTTCCTAGAAAATAACTGGCATTTTCATTCAGTCAGGTAAATAAACTGAAAGATCACAAATGCCTACTATAACAGTAGCTTTCAGGCATTCTTAACTAAAATTGTGGTTTATCTTCCACCAGTTGTGCATTTCCAGGAGCATAAATTATCCTCAGGATAAACTGACCCTAAGACTTGCTGCTTTTGCCTCCTAAACATAGAGTCCCATAGTAATAAAAAGCCAGTGCATGCTTCATGTCGCCCCTCTGCAGTTGATTCACTCTCATGGATGCATGGACAGTTGCACAGTTTGTAGAAAAAATGGTTTATCCCAGTGAGTTCCTACAAAATGAGTTCCTGTTAATTCGTAAATGGTATATTTTGGACAGTAGCTAGATGAATTCTTTGTAAAACCTTTTTTTTTCCCTGCATAAAGCATTCATATGAATTGCATAAAGTCTTAAGGTACAAAGTTTATGCTTTATATTTTCCTTCTCCTGGGGAAAGTGTAATAGTAGCAGTTTTGGTCAAATTAAATACTGATTATTTCAGCTATCTAAATTTAGTCTGTGGTTTTCAGTGGATAATGTGCTGTCATTTGCTGCTTCTAACCTTGTTCTTTTCTCAAAACCATGCTGTGCAATGCTTCATAGCTACCAATCCATAACCCAAATGTTGTTATATTAGAGTGGAGAGTTGTGCTGATCTCCGTGCAATATACAGAGGGTGTGTGTTTATGAGACGCCTAGCAAGCTACTGTAGGACTGTAAATTTCTGTGGGTTTTTTTCATGCTGTACATACCTGCTACTTACTGAAGTGATTTATGTTTTAGGCACATTTTCTTTTTCATTGTTCATTCTAATTTTTTTCAAGTTTTAGAACTGAAGTAATTTTAGTAAGTAGTTATCTCTTAAGTAGTTATCAAGAAAGCCTGGAGAGGTGGACGTAGTCTGCCAGCTGCTGTGCAGGTGCGGTATGTGCTACAGCTGGGGGGCAGGTTAACATCTCCCCTCCATGCACAGAAACCTAGGCTCTGACTTAGGTCAGGGAGAGGGATGCCTCTGGGTCATGTCTACTGAAGTAAAGACCAGCCTATGTACTCACTCATTAATACCTTTATCCAGCATCGTGGAAAATGGTGAGAGGGAAGAGGATCATTCTGAGCCACATTTTCCATGTGGAAAGCCAGTCAGCTGAAACCTCGATTCAGCCTCGCAGATGACTGAGCCCTCTTTTCTTTCCTACCTGTTTGGTTGAAGGAAAGAAATGGAAGACTATAGAGGGAATAATCAGTAGTAATCTCCTCAGCCAGCCATCTCCTCCTATTGACCTTGAAGTAATGAAAAAAGGATAGATTCTGCTGCATGTTACCTCTGTACATCCAGATAATGAGAGCAGAGAGTAATGATCATAAATCTACATGACTTTGCCTGTTTGGAAGTCTGGGCCATGGGGAAAATGACAGTATGTGTTTTATTTTCACTCTGTAATTCACATAAGTATTCTTCCAAAGTGTTTTTTCTGTGTTTGGTTTTTTGTTTTTTTCCTTGTACTTCATTTTATCAAGCAGTAATTTTAATTCAGATGAACCTATTCCCTTTTGTTGACTTAAATTTTCAATCTGAGAATAGTTGTGTTCCCTGAACCATCAATAAACTGATTTGATATTCATATTTTATAGATGTAATAGTTTGCCATTAGTTAATACAGAGGACTTACACTGGTGTAGAACTAGGCCTGTGAAAGAAAAAAGAAATCCAAAATATGTATGTAGGGCTTTTGTTTTTAATATTTCTTTTTTTTTTTAAATGGGGAAAAAAAGAAAGAAAGAAAAGAAGAACCTGGAATTTGGGAGTTTACTTTCAGTTGTCAAACTGCCATACACAGAGTAACCAGAAAGTTGTCTTTGGCAATTTGCTCATTCCCCTCCCAGTGAGATGTAATTCATTAAGGCAGTTCCTTTTCAAGCATTAACTCAGAAACCAGGAGGAATCTGAGACAGAAAGTAATTCAGTAACCCTAATAATGTAGTAGTCCACCTAGTGTGGCCAATGAATAAAGAATAGTAGCAAGGTGTTTTAGTACTTAGCTAAAATGCTAAGGCAATGTCAGCCAATAAATGATGTCATGCAATCAGAGGCAGGGTTTGGTCAATGTAAACTGACAGTTTTGTCTTTTAATCCTGCTACACACAATAACAAAACATCAGGAAGGACTATATTTAAAAACAGAGGAAATGTAGTGAGTCCACTAGAAGAGCTCGTTGCATTGTTTTTTCTCAGAACTAGATCTCAAGTGAGATGATGGCTGGACCAGTACTAAGCTCCCTGAGGCTCCTTTCCCCCTTCTCAACATGAGATTAACCTCTGAAATGGTAGTAGAGCTCTCTGGAGTTAATGGGACTGTGGTGGGGAGATATTACAGTTTGCTTGTATTTCCACGTAGAGACATTATGTGAGTGTTTGGAGTGAAGCTGAAGCATAAGGCAGACGTTAACCCCATCTCTGAATATGAAGCAGATCAGATTGGCATAAAGAAATGCAGTCTGATCCAGGGCAAGGGGGGCCTTTAAGTCTGGCACTCTGGAGGAGCTAGGATGGTGGTCATGTGTTTTTCCTCTTTTGAGGCCAATTAACCTGTTAGAGCTTGCCTTTGGCCGGAGAAAAGATGTAGCTGAGCTGTGCTTCTTAGGGAATTAGGAAGGATGGAGGGAGGAATTTGCCCAGCCCTGAGCTCTCTGCTGGAGAGTTGGAGGTGATGGCTGGCCGCAGAGTACTCTGTCTGCTCCCCTGCAGCCAGTGGCCTGGTGGTGATCTGGTCATGCAACAAACAGATTTAATTTATCAGCCAACCAACCCTGCCCACAAAAACATGTATTTACATCAGTTCAGTGTGTTGAATATGGCTGGCTGCATTAAGAGGGGGAATCATCCCAGAGGTTCACAGGGTGAAACTGTCCCCTTTCAGCAATGCTCTTCAGCTCACATTGTGAAAACATACCCTAATCTGACTCCTTCTGTAGGTTATTAAGTTTGGAGTGTTTCTGGTACTCAAGCCAGTGTAATCTTTTTCTTTCTATACAGTCATGTTTGAAGGTCACATCCTGTGGTCAGGTTAACCACCAATTTTAATGAGCTCTGATGATATGCCCTGGCTAACAGTTTGTTCCTCAAAATCTAGCATCTCTTAAATAAGTTTTAATGCTTAAAGACTCTTAGCCAACAAACAGTTGAGCTAAGTTGAACTCCAGGTTTGTTTCCAGAGACTGTAAGGTCTTTTATCAATTTAGGTATTGCTACAGGACCTAATATAGCAGGGCCATTCTCCACTTGTGAACTAACGATGTCGAAAAGATTTAAGGAGTCATTTTTATAGTGCCTTGAATTAGTATAAATACAGTGAGATATTCACGGCTTCTAACTATCATTTTAGGAAGACTAAGGGTTTGAATCCAAAGTGATCCAGGTTGATCCAATCTGGTCCTGCCTTAAAACTGCCCCACAGTCACAACCTTTACCCTATGCCAGTGCTGGCACTGGTGACAGGCAAGGTTTCCATGTCACCTTCATGTCTTTAATTGCTACTAAAATGCCAATTTCATATAATAGTTATAAGTAGCGTGAGCAGAGCTGTAGTTATCTGTATAATTTAAGTCCATGAAACTATTCACATGTTTAAAAGTATGCAGATGCTGGTGTCTTATGCTAGATCAGGATCTTAATTAGGCATAGTTTGAGATAATTGGGTTGCTTTAGCTTCATATCTCAACCTTCTAATTCTAACTACTAAATTAGGATTCAACTGTAACCCCTGTATGTTTAGTTGAACTATTTCAATTTGTTCCTTACATTAGGTAAGTGTTGCGATTAATTCTGCTTCTCTGTTCTGGTTTTCTGTGGGAGAGGTCTGAGTTAACAAATTTGTATCATCGGGTAAATTCAGACAATTATGTCCTTGCCCTTTGCTGTGTGATTTTTTTTCCAGGAGATATAAATGGATAAATGTTCTGGATAAATACTTTGAGGAACAAGTAAGTCCCAGGGTTTTCATTTTGTTATGGAGTTTATTGTCAGGTTGCTATTCTAGCCTGTATTTTGTGGCTTTTGTTTTCTCTTTCCTGTCTTTTGGAAGTTAATACTAAAAAATTAATCAGAAAAGTACCAAGCTTGACATTTTTAACAAAAACAAAAAATGTGGTAATGATCACATCTGCAGACAAGTCCATGCTGAACAATCCAGCCTGTCTCTTAATCTAAGGTTTACATGGGTGGAGGGATTATCTGCTTACAGGTGCACTAGTATAACTTAATTTCATTGTTTCCACAGATGAGCACCATGCCAGGACTTCCCACAAGGCCATGTTTCTATGACATTGACCTTGACCCCATCACAGAGCAAGTGGAAGGATTGTTTTGAGAGTGAGGTCCAAATTCAGGTCAGTCAACAGCCTCTATTTTCCTGTTTCAGTTTGGGGGAAGATGTTTGTTTCTGGCACGTATATGGAAAAGGTTGTCAGGAGTTTATCTAGGCCCTAGTTTTAGTAAGGACTTCACACACTTTGGGGGGATTTGAGGAAATGTTTCATAATGTGCACTTTATCACAGGGATTTCTCATTCGCTGAATGGTGTCTGACACTTTGCTAGTGTACACTAATGGTGCCTTGGATTTTGTGGCACTGTCAGTTTGGCTTGAGGAGAAGCCAGCTCTGCAACTGTACTGCTCTTGGCTATGGAAAACACCAGTCTGAAAAAATCATGTCATCTTAGCTCAAAAGAAATAATCTTTGATACTACACTTTTGTGGCAGTGTGTGTCTGTCATGTTCAGTTTGTTCATAGCTCTGCTTTGTTTTTTCATGTTTTGTTTTTGTAACCGCTGTCATCTCTCTCAAATGGTAATAAGCATTCCAGGAACACAGAGCTGTCCTCTTAGCCTGTTTTTCATGCTGGATTCGCTCCCTTTTCCTCGAAGGTTGCACTTACCCTCCCACCTCCTCCCCTATTCTAAGTACTTAATCTTCTTGGTGTCCTGCTTTAATTTTGTGTAGCACGTTCCTCACTTAAAAATCCAAGATGTTATGAAAATATTCCATGCTACTCCATTTTAACCTTGTAACATAAGTGGACTAAGAGAGAATGTAACCCTGACTGAAACAAACCATGTGTGCCTGTGATGGGATTCTCTCCTTTCATCACTTAACTCTCTCCTTTCCCCCAGTAAATTGGTCTGGAAAGCAAAACAGTTCCTTTTAGACTGAACAACAATATTACTGTGAGCTAATAGGACAGTGGTGGGACCCCACATCAGCCACAGCCTTGAGGTGGATGTACTCAGGTGCTTCAACCGTGCTCTAGCAAACCTTTACTCTGGTTTGAGCAGACCAGCTCTTGTTTTGGTGTTGGTATGGATTGTTCAGAGGAGGGGAGAGGTTTGTACAACCCAACCAGACCAAGTTAACTGTTCGCTTGCCCATAATTGAATGTCACAATATTTACGTAACATTTGGTGAGAGCAGATTCTGCCAGTTTGTGTGTGCCAATCAAGACAAGTAAAAAGCAGTTAGCTTGAAAGTTAACCTGCATGCACAGGTAATTACTACCCTAAGTGCAAACCATCACTGACTGTTCTGTTTGTGGGTAGTGTTATGCATACTATTTCTTGGCATATATCCCATTCTTTTTACCGATTCGTGTTATAAGTCTGGTGGCTTGATGCATACATATTGATTCATCATGTGTCAGTCATGTAATTACTTCTGACTCATTTGAAATCACTGTAGAATCCTAATGTAAAATCTATATGCAGATTCACACAGCCTGCTTAATTGGGTGTTTACTGACTAGTCTTACACAAATCCATCCAAACCATGGATTGGTGAGTTTTGAAGAACAAGAGTAATTAGGCAGACAAAATACTCCATTACAACTGTGAAGACCTTTCATTGGAAGTTGTGCATGAAATGAAAATGTTAAATTTGTCTTTTAGTTAGTGATGGTGTTTTGTCAGATGTAAAAAGAAATGCTATCAAAGTCACAAGACATAATAGTGAGGTAGGAAATAGCATACATATCCCACTGTTAATAAATTATTTTAATTTCATTATAGAGCTATTGCTGGCATCAGACAGATGAATGATTCAGTAAGTTTAAGCCTTTTAAAGAAAAAACGGCTTGATTATATATATTTTTTATCAATATAGGTACATACTCATGTGTGTTCCTACTTTTAACATTCTAAATAAATGCCTTGAGAGTATTTTAATACCTAGGGAGCTCCACACAAAGTAGTCAAGTGTTCATGAGCTCTAAAATACATCTGGTTCATGTGCTAGATTTGTACATTTCTAATTCTGGATGAAGAAAGAAACAATATTCCTATGTAGTCTTTACCTCCAACTTTCTGCAGAGAAGTTTAGTATTATTATTTCTTTTCACACATTCACCAAAGTGAACCCACACTGTAGCTGATACCACACTATGAGGTCTTTGTTTCTATGATGGGAGATTGAGGGATTTTGTTTTCACTTAATTTGAATTCTTTTCATAGTGATATAGTGTACAATGTAATATGATATTGTGCCAACTCATTAGGACTGATTCAAATCTTTAAGATGTTGTAATTGAAAAATATTTAGAGATTTGCAGAAGAGCTGCAGATGTTTCATTATAAACATGCCTGCAGAGCTGAGAACAGTTGCTTTAGTGTGCAGTATTTATCCTCCTCCACAATGCATATTGTCATCAGACTTGTAAAAGAGATACAGGCAAAAGTTCCTGCTTCTCAGGATGCTGTGTGAGGCTCTGACTGAGCTGAAACATTGGTTGTCTTTAGTCTCTCTGATTTTTTCTCTACCACTTCACTGCATTAATGGAGCAGATGACAGTTCTCACAAAAATTTGCAGAACACCAGTCATTAGAATATGTGCTAAAAAAGTCATAGAACTTTATCATAAAAGTCAACTCTGTTTTTCTCTGTTGACAAATAGCCAATACATGGACACACAGTATTGCAGTCTCGCTGTAGGAACAACATGATCTATCAAAGAATGAAACATTAATATCTAGAAATGAACCCAAAGGGATCTGGCTAGTTCTTCATCGCTGGCCTCTGTCCTGTTTAAATTGTACTTCCCAGTTCATACACTAAGGAAGTTGAATTTGTTTCCTTAGGAGCTGTCTGTAGAGACCACCAGTCAGAATAAGACTTACATGGTGACAAGTCTGCCAATAGGAAGAAATATTAAAAAAAAAAACAAATGAAAAACCAAAAAAAAGTATTACTTGCACAGCAAGGGGAATTCATGAACCTGACTCACTCTGCACAAGTGAAGTCTGTTAAGGACCCTTGTGAGCTCTAAGGATCCCTCGAATTTAATCAGTGGAAATAGATACCTGCTCTTACTAGGCCAGTTTGGCTTTGAGTATTTGGGTTGATGGGGGAGTTGGAGGTGGGCTGTTGTTCTCCTTGGTTGGTTTTGACTTAGTAAGACCGCCACTGTCCACAGTGACAGATATATTCTTGCACTCTTCTCCTCTTCAAAAATGGCAGAGCATCAGAATTATTTTAATGCACATCATGGATACTTTGCCACCCTTGGAGCTTTTCTGAGTGTGAGAGGAATCCCAGAGCTTTACCTGTGGGCATCTTCATGGCCATAAAGAAGTCCATGAGAGTAGGACACCAAAACTGATATTCTAAAATTGCAAACTATCTGTTAGATGTTTTCATCTTATCTTATTCAGAAATGGATAGAAAGTGTTTGAAGACCTTTCCTTCACACAAAACTGGATTCTATGAAACAAAAACAATTACTTCTTTTAGTCTCATTCCCCAGTATTGAGTTTCAGCAATTGCTACAGTAATGTACAGTCTGAAGTTCGTATCATACTGAAATATGAATACAGATTTTTGCTTCTCACCTACCAGGGTTACACAGATAATAAATAGAGGTGCATGTGGCATAACTAACCATTTTTCTTTATTATGGTTAAGGCAAAAATATTCAATTTCACTGAACCAGTGCTTTTAGATTGTGATGCTTCTATTTTTTTTTTACTTTAACGAAAGCAAAGATGTCTTGCCTCAGTGTATAAATTCTTTATCTTTCTCATTTCAGAAGCCTGAAAATTCAGAACTGCAACTTTCCTGTTTCCTTCAAGTAGGAGACAAAAATGAATCTGAAATATTCCTGTTATGTGTCTCTGGAGGAATGTCAAGATAGACCAAAGAGCAAAAGTTTACTCTTTCTTCAAACTAGTTTTTATGATGAAATATAGCTTTAGGGTTAAAAAAAAAAAAAAAAAAATCACAAAAAAAGACCAGCAAGCTGAAGTTTTACTCGCTGTCATGCAGGAAACTCTCTACTGGGGTTTATGCTTGTTTCTGGATAAAATGACATTGAAAATGAGCAGTTTTTCAACCTGGAGTTTTCCTCTTTTCTCAGAAGAGTTTACCGAAGTATTTCCTTTATCTTGGCTATCTCAAAACTTGTGTAAACCTGATTATGCTGTGTGACCAAGCCTATTTCTCTCTGAAAAGTACGCTTTTGCTCCTGGCATTCAGGAGTTGAAGCTACACACAGATTAACTGCACATTTTTGAGTTATCATCAAATGTTGCTCTGGATGCATTTGGGCAGCAGCCAAGCTTCGAGCAAGGAAGACATTAAACAGAGAAAGAACAGAGAATGTATTTTGTAAAAGTTTTTTAAAATATAATTTGTTTCCTTGTTGGGCAAAGATCTTTTGAAACACTTAAGCCATAGCTGTCTAGTATCCATAGGTCTGCCTTTATCCAAAGCATGTGTTACAGGTTGTCCAGCTGATTATGTGGTTGTTGTGGTGACGCTGATTGTTCAGAGAGGGCACTACTGCTTCTGAAGCACTGTTTTGCTCCCGTTCATGGCTAATGAAGCCTCCTGCTGTGCTGGCTCCTGAGTAGAGTTTTTCCCTAGCAGTACACAACGCCCAGTAACAACAGAAGAACGTCCATCAAGCAGGGATGCGACAGGGCACAGCTTTGTTCTGCTTCATTTTGCAGGTTTTAACCACCATACTTGCAAAACTGGAGGGTATTTTTACCTGAAGGGGGTATTCAAACAAGCTGAATTGTAAACCGTGTTCTTAAATTTACCTCAGTAACTTACCTTTCCTGGTTTTTCCTAAACCTGCAGCAAAACAAGCCTTAGGCATAGGATACTGCATTTAGCTTTCCAAGCAGCTACTCCTCAGGAAACTCTCACTCGCTGACTGTTGGTTCCTTCAATAACAAAAAGGGCAGCAGAACAATAGGGTGAATCGAGACAATAGGCCATTGTTTTTTTAGGTAAAAAGCAGTGAAATACTGATGAGAGAGTTTATTTTCCTGATGACGTTTTCCATCCTGTCGCTTCGCTCTGCTTACGCACATCTGCATGTTATGGGCTTTTGCAGTGTAGTTTTGGTTACCTTCTACAGAGCCACATTTGGAGACTTAATTATCTCAGGAACTCTGTAGTAATTGAGGGGTTTGTTTTGGTTTTTAAAATCATGCTTCGTTATTTATAAACTCAAGACTATAATTACGGACAGTAGAGCAAACTGGGGGCAATTAATTATCTGTGCCTTCCCTGGAGTAGCACGGAAATGTCTGTTGACTGCATTTTAGTGCTATTCATAGCATGGATCTCCAACACCATGGGGATTGCTGTGAAGATAAATTTAAATGTAAAAACTAGAGCAATTTGATATTTTATCCTTATTAGACAATAGAGCTCATAATGGCCTAGACTGGATGCTTTAATTACACTGGGACTGCATGACAAACATGATAAGTAGAAAGTAAGATTCAGGTGTGGCTCTCACAGCTGCTGGGAAGAAAGATTTCTGATATAGTCTATTAAACTGTGCAACAAAATACAACCATGCTCTTTATACACATAGCACCATTGTAAATTAGTCTTGCACACACTGAGCTATCTAGCCAAGAAATAGCCAAAGAGTTTTGGAAGAAAATAAGTGTGGTTTCTGGACATAGTTTTCCTAGTAGCATCCTTACAAGAAAAAGAAATAAGGTTTTCCCTCCATCTTGTCCAGAGAAATTCAGAAAACCATAATCGTGCCTTACTAGGGGTCACTGTGGTTCTCCTGCCCATTCAGTGTGGGATACTAAATGTGGCACTAGCTGACTGCCTTGTGAAGCTTCCATATGGATGCAGATGTCTAAGCAAAAAGTTTTATAAGTCACCTCAAACTGCTGCTTGATACCTTCTATAGTGTCATCTCCATATTATCCCTTCAGGCCACGCACACTGAGATTGTTTATCTGACCCGTCAGTCTCTCCCTAAAACACCATTCCAGCTCATTTAGTTGAGAGTTGACAAACATCCTGTACTTTTTCTATCATGTGCACAGGATTTGTTATTTTGTTTAGATAGCTTCAGTAATTCAAGAAAGGTGGAATGGCCCTCTCTTCTTTTATCATAGCTTTTCTCCCTCCCCATCTAGTTAACTAGCTGCAAAAATCTCTCAAGCTGTTATATTTTTGGTCCTTTGTCATGATGCAAAGCACTGAGCTATTGGCCACCAGCTAACCTGCAGAAACTGCCACAGTATATTTCCTGGGGCTCCCCTGATGCTGAGGCCTTCATCCAGAAGAGTTTAAAATGAAATCTTTTTAATATCAGTGTTATTGTTAGGTTTATCACTTGTTACATGGATGTGACTGTAGGTATGGGACCCTACCTTTGCATCTACAGTGAGCAGTGTTATCACATGGCAGAACCACGGCTTTATAAGGCAGGTCGCCATGCTTATCCCTTCATATGCTAAAGTGTTTTAAGTACCATGTGGTTGTTTATTATCAGATCTGCTTTTTGTTGTGGCTCAATACTTTGCTACTGCTGAACTACTTCTGTAATGACATTGAAATACTTCAGACTACATGCAACTGGTTTCATTCATTTGTATTCTAAAACTCAAAATCCCAGAATTTCAGTTGCCATAAACATGAAAATAAAGTCTGTGTGTGTACTAATGTTTAGTTCGCACACGTGGTGTCTGTCTGAAGTCTGAATTAATTAATAAAATACATCCATTATTTAATATTGTTCTCTGTCTCTCTGATCTTGTCTATTTAAATAGCAAATTCTTTTTTTTTTTTTTTCATAATTCCTTATAAGCCATAGAGCTCTGGCACTGTGGTTGAATGCCAGATGTGAGCAAGGCATGGTACTCTTACCTGGCTTCCCAGAACCTAGGAAAGTGTTTGGTCCCTGGCTGTTGCCACAAAGGGCCATGCACTGGAGGGTTGTCCACATGTCCACAGGATCTTCTCTGTCAGTACAATCCTTTTGAACTTGGTTTGTGCTTGGGGAAGGACACACTAGGCTAACATCCTGTCCTGGTCCCAAAATATCTTGCTGTTACCTTTGGTCCTTGACAAGAAAGGTTGTATCAAATGCAAGGGTCAGTTGGCCACTTTCCACTTCTCAGTTGGCAGCTGGATTTGTGTGAAGCAGTGTCAACTAGAAGAACATATATCTGTGGGCTTCTCAAGGTGGGATTTAAACACAAGTGATGCAAAAGCTTCAGGAACTATGGGTGTTAAATCAGCTGGGCCACAACACAGCAGAAAGCATGCCAGGAGCAGGAACTAATAAAATGGGGAAGGGGAAGAAATTGAGCATTGCAGGCACATACTGGCCAGTGCTTCTGTTTTCTAAACAGCTAAATGAAATGAAGTCTCAACCATATGACTTGTATTAGTACAGGTTTTGTAGCGTGCCTCTCATGGCTAGATTTCCAAACAGCATTTCAGCTTCTCTACAACATCTCAGCCAGGACCTTACCCATACGGAACAGGTCTCAAGCACTAGGTTTGCTCTTCAGTGTTCCCTGGGTCTGCCCTGCTGATGGCCAACCAACCAACTAGGGTGAGCACAGGAGGCATATGCAAACTCTCCCTCCACTGAATTATTTGGGTGGCGAGGGAGGGTAACCAGTTTTATCCCTTTAAACGGGTAGTTTTTCATAGAATATTCTTTTGAGAAAATATTTCTGAGAAAAATTTCAGGGCCAAGGTAGGACCCCCTGCTTGGGGGGGTTGGAATGGAAACACTGAAAACCCCTTCAAGCATTTCTCCTGGGAACATGACTGCTGTGCTATACATGTTACCATACAATGTGGGTTTAAGGCCAGAGTGTTTATGTAAAGTAAGCTAAATTCAAATATTTTCACAAGTGTGGTCATAATAATAGTTCCCTGCTCCATGCAGCTGAGTGTAATATATTACGTATATGCAAGCATGAGCGAGAATTTATTTCTGCATGCAGTTTTTATGTAAAATCTTCAATATCTGCTTCCTCAGTAAACTCTTAAACTTAGACCTTTTGAGTAATGAGTGGGAAGAGCTAGACAGCTACATTCCATCATAGCCTCAAAACGGGCAAGACCTTGACAAATCTTTTTAAGTCAGCACTGCACTGGGTAATCTCCAGGTACCTTCCAAGGTAAACTGTTCTGTGCACGCATGAACTGTGATGCTAGTAGAAAAAGCTGGGTCTGAGGAAACGTAAAGCTGAAATATACACATACACACACACTATAGACACCTTAAGAACTGAACTTTGCAGAGTACTAATAAAAAAAGAGGATGTATCAAATTCAAGCCATGCCCACTTTTGTGCAATACACTAAATCAAGGTTTAAGTTATGACATTCTAAAAGCTAAATTGTTTCCCACTGGGCAATTTCATTGCAACTCATTTACCATCAACATCTGGTCAAAGTTAGATTCCTAATGCCAAAGACTTTCAGCTTTTCAGAACACAGCTTGTTAGTTGCCCGTATAATGCAGCCCCTACATGTTCTTATCACATGCACAGTTTATATTAACTCTCCAGAAAAATATAATTATGGCTGTATTTGTACAAAGCATGTATTATATACATGATATGTATATGTGTGTATATATATAAATATATACACACCCCACGCTGTGAATTCAAGGATATTTCCTTCCATTTTCATTTTTGAGGGAAGGCTCAAGGGGAAACCTGAGAGAGAAAAATGTCTGACTTGCAGCAGCAGACCAGGTCCTACACAGCTTTCAGTCAGACAAAATCTCTGCAAGGAGACAACCTCCCCATATTTGCTGGCCCCATGCTTGGGTGCTACACATATTCCCACACAGCTCGAGCTCATCTGGATCACTTTGGTGTCTCCATTGCAGTCAGAAAAAGTTATATTTGCCAACCTGTTTTTTTCTCAAGTGTTAGAGGTAAGTGAACTCTCCCTGAAGAAGATTTTTGGGGAGAGCAACAAAACCAACATCTAACTCCAATCTGCTCTTTATGATGTTAGCCTAAGGTATCCATTGTTGATTTTTCCCCTATGTTTAGAAAGTTCAACCACTGTCATTCAGTGACAGACATTAGTGCCTGGCAAAAACTTGTTCATCCAGGGTGAAACCTGTATCTAATTCTGCTTCTTGAACTACTGAAAGTCAGAGAGCCTTTAGATCCCAGTTTGTTAGTAATAACCAAATATGCAAGTTATTTCATTCTTAATAGTAAGCGGAAAAAGGAAAATAATAAGAAAAACTATGAAGATGGTAAATGAAGAAACAAAGTACAGGAGTCAGTTTGGCTCTTTTGGGACAGAATTGCCTGAAAGCAATTGTAAATCATGATGAGTCTGAGAGGCAATTTCACTAAATCTCACTTTAAAAAATTCCTTTAAATTGAGCAGTATATAACTTACCACCAGCAGTTTTGAAGAAGACTATGTATAACACCAAAAAAAAGTACATTTAACTGCAAGTTGCTACTGAAAAGGGAACTTTTAATGTTAATTTTGTTTTACGGAGACGCACTAAAACAGCACAATGTAATGAAATGTTACTAAGAAACAGTAAATAGATGAGCAGCAAGTGAAAGATGACATCAATTTAAAAAAGAAGTATAAAATATCTTCTGAGAAAACAATACACTTGGAAAGTTAAGGCTACTGGAGCGGACCCAAAGCTAATTCATAGCCAGCGAGCTGTTTCCCATCACTTCTTCACAGTGTAGACCACCAGATCCTCAGGGACAGGAGGAAGATCTTAGGTTGAGCTTTCACCTGGCATCACCTATAGCAACTGCAGGAAATCAGCAGGGTAGCAGCAATTGCCCTGGAGCCCCGAGATGGGGAGGGCACCTGGTTCAGATTCCTATATTTACCGAGTCCTCCTCATAGGTGCCTCTTCTGTGGTGGGTCACTGCTACAGATAACCTCACCTTCTGCTAAATTTGGACATCTCTATCCCAAGACTGCATTTACTCAGCAACAAACAAACCACACACCAGCTTGGAAGCAGAAATGGAAGAGTTATACCCAGTATGATTTAAACACGTCTGGGACCTGTACAGACAACCCGCAATTATCAAACCAACAGTTTCACAAGCTGTTTAAAAGACAGATGGTCTGTTTTTCTAAGCCTTCAGAAAGGACCAACAGCATCATCATCCAACACTGTGCTGGGGGAAGAAGAAATTGTGTGCAAAAAAGATACCTTAAAATACTTCTTTTCTGCTGGTATTCCAGTTTTGTCTCTTTAAGCTTCAACAATAACACAAAAAAGCCCCAAAACCTCAATCTCTCCCAATGAGAGGATCCCATCAAATATATTTATCTGCAAATGGATTTTTACCCCAAACATCTCTAATGCTCAAGTTTTTCCACTGTTTGAAAATGAGTGGTAGGAACAAACTGACAGGAGAATACACTGTTTAATCCCATATAAGGCATGATGAAGTGAAACCTAAGAGCCATATCCAAACATCTGTAGATACAAGCCTGGATGCACAAGAGCAATTAGGCTTGCATACTCGGGAAAACATGTTTGGGGAAGACCTTTTCTGTTCATAAATCCTGCAGCCCTTCCAGCTGCAGGGGGGAGACAGATGCTGGAAGGGCCATACCTTACCTAGTGCAACTGAAATGAAAATGATTCAAGCAGCCATTTACTCATCTGCATAAACTTGAATCTTAAATTTAGCAGTGTTTCACCTTTTGACCTTGAATTTCACATTCCCTTAACCAGCTTGACTTGAGCCTGAACACTTACAGAAGGGTTTACAGCCATTCACTGCAGCAGGATTGAAGAAAACCTTGAAATTGGAATCAACATTGGAACCAGTTTGACTCACTGCAGACATCTGCCACCACGCCACTAAGCCCCAGGGCTGGCTAGAGCACCCCACAGCATCCCACACTACAAACAGGGCAAATCCTGCTCCCCATAGCCCACCACCGGGTGAAGACACAAGTGCTTAGGATGTGGAAAGAGGTACATGACATTTTTTTTAAAAAAGCAAACCTCTCCCAAGATTTATAAACTTAAATGCTGGACTCAAAAATTCAAGCACACTTTTTAGATTCTACATGTTTAGTTTAAATGCCAGTGCCCAGCAGGTAAATAGTTTTTTTTAGAAAAATAATTTTTCAATAGAGATGAGGACTCCAATATAAAATCAGCAGATTATAAGTTTGTAGTTATTCTAATAAAAATAATTTAGATTTTAAATATTCAATGAAACCATCCATTCAGATCTGGTACAGATACTGTCCCTAACCATGCTGTTTACACGGAGCCACTCAGGGTGGAAAAGACCTCTGGAGGTCCCCAGGTCCAACCACATGCTCAAAGTTCTATTTATTAGTAAACAAAATTTCTTCAAGTAAATTTATGCTTTCATATACAGATTTAGGAATTAGATCACACATTGTAGGGTTGCTTACCTGCTGTAAGTTGGAGGTCTTGCTCATTCATTCAACCAAAGGCTTGCTGCAAAGATATGATAGCTGGAATCAACATGAGGAAACAGTCCAGCCACTCCCCTGGACCACAGAAGCATGACAGCTATTTCCCTACCACCACTCGAAGGGGCCCCATGAAGACCACTAACCTGCTCATTCATTTGAATGGGTTGTCATAGTACAAATGACATCCTGCAGATTTTCAGAGCACTGACCTAGTCTCTTATTTCAAAGCACAAAAGGGGAAAAACAAGAACAACAAAGCCTAAACACCCAAAGAAAACAGCTCTCAGTCAATTCC